TAAATAAAAAGGTCATAATTTTCGTAAGCTTTCCGCGAATTAGAAGATTTTTTTAATATTTTTGCGAAAAGCTCACGGAAATGATGACTTTTTTTATATAATGGTTAGGTAAAAATGTTCACTTTTAACATTTTCGTATGCATCCGTTTTATAAAAAAAAATTAACTTTCGTACACAACCTTTATCTTTTCCTTCTATGGTTCTGCTACTGGGGAAATGGCACGTAAACCTTTCTTATTTTCGGTTTGTAACAATACTCGTTAAAGAAATGAAGTGCATGAAAATTAAAGTTACTTTTTCTTCCTTCTAAAAATAGCACCAAATATGGCAGAATATAGTGAGCATTTTCTGGGTGTGGGGCGGAAGGTGCGAGGCTGCTCGCGAGCGGCAGGGGCGGCCGCTAATAAGGGGGTGGGACGGAAACGAACCAATCGCATGTCCCGTTACATGAACCTACCCCTCGGTGGAGGGTGAATCAAGTTCAGTAAATATCGAAGCTCTTTTGATTGATGAAAAAAAGCTGCTCCTGTGCACAATCAGTTCTTCGGGCGATGCCAAGCCGCCACCTCGACCTCGCGATTTCCCTTTTAATATCCTCAATAATCTGTCAAGTAATTAATCTAATTGAACACGCATCAGTTCCCGTTGTATCCTAAGTTATACGTGTGCTCACATTTTTGTGCATCGAATTTAACCTCAATTCCGGGCAGTGCAATTTCTTATGCTTGAAGAAGTGTTCCATTTCACCCCGATTCGCGCTTTATCCTTTGGTCACCTTTGATTTCTCTCTGCAATCAGTGGGTGTACGATACCTAACTTCACTGGAGTACCTATTGGTGCCGACTTGTTATTTTGTGCGTCCATCTCAAGTGCTGTATTTTGTGCTCGCTTGATATAATTGTAATCTGTTTCTCATCTTCAATTGATATTAGTGGTGGCACGGCGTGATAAAATCTTTTCGAGTTTTTTTCGAGTAATTTCTTGGCATGGTCTGGAAGTTTAGAATTCTAATGACAACTCAATGTGCCTTTTTTTCCTAAAAGTTTGAAATAAAATTGCAAGACCTAGAGGGATCGATCGATTTTGACGTCACGGAAAGTTACCGCGATATAGTTTTATTCGAAACAGAGGGCTTTCTATCACGTGTGATGGGCTGCTATCATGATTACATTTCCAGATGACCCCTACTGCAATGTGCCGCATTCCAGCCCGCAATCTCAAATTTGGGTACCACCCAACATCCAAGCGTATCCGGCAGAATTATTAGGTATTTGCGTTTAAATACATGATTATTTTCAATTTAGCAGTTTATTTTTTTTAGTGCATCCTCATCTTCATGAGGAGACAATGCATCTCATCTTGCAAACAATGAAGCTCAAATATTGAAGGGCAGCATTAACGTCATGTTAGTTTAGTTTTTTTTTTTTTTTTTTTTTTTTTTTTTTTTTTTTTTTTTTTTTTTTTTTTTTTTACTTTTAGGATTCAAGATGAGAGTGAAGAGAGGAATTATGCCTTGTAGTACCCTCCTTCTTACAGAAATTGGGACCCCACGTAAGGCACGAAAATTGATTGGTGATCCTCTTTAATGATACAAATACCTGATTATTTTTACAAGATGTGCAGTTTGTCGACTTGTTCTGATTGAAGCATGGGTTGATCTTCAGTAGGACAACATTTTGATCTTCAGTGGGACAACATTTCGCAAAAAGGCACAACAATTTCAGGCTCATTTAAGAGACAACGTATGTGCCATTCGTTTCCCTGAGTAGATAGGTGTTTCTACGTAAGAGACAGAAAATGTCGTTCCTTATTGAAAAATGTGGTCCAATTATTCAAAACTTATTGAGGTGTTTTATCAAAGCATTAATTTAAGCAAAGATTGGCAAAAGTCCGGAGTGACATCTTTTTACGAAGGAAGGAGAGCAAAGTGGACGTAAAATATTTACGATTAACTTCTTTTTCTATTCATCGCTAGTCACGCGGCACGGTGTGAGCTGTGAAGGCACACGCTGATGCGCCTTCATCTACGAAGTAGGCAAAACGAGCTCCTAGAAGCTTGAATAGTGGTATCCGTCATAACGCGGCTCGTGAGAACTGCTGGTGAAACCGGAATGAACGCGATCTTGCGAGCACTTGGAAGTTGTTATTACCACATTTAGGTTAAACTAAATTAAACAGAAAAGAATCAAGCCACACTTCGGGTGTAAAATTAGTAACAGTAGTTTTGACTTTTGCGTTTATTGAACTGCACAGTTTCTCATGACAAAAATTCAAGGCCGAAAAAAGGACTTCGAATGTGAAAGTAGACGTTGAACTTTACCTCTAAAATTGAATATTGCGGAGGAATCTGACCTTTTGTTTTTGATTCGATCTTGGTGCGACTGAATTTATTTCTATTACACTCTGTCTAAATCTGACGCCTGCGGTCTAGGTTAAAACTTATGGACAACAACCGGCTTTTTGGGTTAAAACTTATGGACAACAATCGGCTTTTTGGGTCATCTCATGATATATTTCTGATAAGGGTCAGTTTTTTTCCTAATTCATACATTTCGGCTCAGATGGTGTTGGGCTAAATAAGAAATAAGTTGGCAATTAAAATATCCGTCTCACCCCCCTTGCTTGGCTGGGAAAGGATTTCATTCCAAATTGAAGTTGTCAGTATTTTGTGTGGAGAGAAGTGTGGACACTGATTCCACGAATCTCCTTTCGGAAATTTAGTCGAGTGCGTGGCGTTGCGTATATCATTTTGGATCGATTTGACCTTCAAATGTTAACATGATTTTGCGATTAAAACGGCAGTTTCTCTACAATATCTGCACCACTAAGAAAAAGAAAAAAATAAATAAAAAGTCTGCAAATTTGTTTTGACAAAAGAAAAGTATATTATCTTTGAATTGCGCTCTTTGAAACTGCATTTTATTCATTTAAATCAAAACTTTGGTGTTCAAAAAGTTGTAACTATAATTGAACATTTTTGCAATTCCCGTACAACTGACGAAAATCTGTACTACATATACTATGGCTTCTGACACTAAAATTCTGTCAAGCACAGGGTCGGACGGGCTCGCATCTGAGGGCGTATAGACCTTTGGCTGGTTAAAGGGGCATAATGTGATATTTCCAGGTAAGGCATTCCCTACGTGGAGAGCGGTTCAGAAAATGTGGGCAAATCAGCACAAGTTTACGCTATTTTCAGGTTCAAAGTTTATTGATCGCACGGAGTAAAAATTGCAAAATTGAACGTGAAGCACAGCATTAAGAGCTCACGCTTCGCGTCATCGCGCCTTCAATTTTTCAGATGCAGCACGGACGTGCATCAAGTACGTATAGTTGTATCTCTGCGCCGTCGTAAACGCGCATCCTTTCCCTCCCTCTTTTTCCATATTATGTTTGTTTCCGTCTGTCTTATCCGTAATGGTGCTTCAAGCACTACGTGAGTAATATAGCCGAAGGTAGGAGAGATGTCTTCAGGCCTTTTTTTAACTTTTTTCCCGAATCAGAGCGACGCTTCATTGACAGCATAAAGCAGAGCATTGAGAGCTCACGGTTCACGTCATCGCGCCTTCAATTTTTCAGATGCAGCACGGACAATGGACATCCATCAAGTACGAATAGTTGTATCTCTGCGCCGTCGTTAACGCGCATCCTTTCCCTCGCTTTATTTCCATATTGTGTTTGTTTGCGTTTGTCTTATTTGTAATGTTGCTTCAAACTAGAGCAGAGCATTGCAAGTTCACGACTCACGGCATCGCGTCATACATTTTTCATATGCAATGTACATCCATCTTGCGCGAATAGTTGTATCGCGTTTACAATTTAGATGTCTCTTATTTTTGAATTTCGAGATAAATTAAGGTTAAGTTTTGCGTATATCTAAAAATCGAACCGACCATCGCTTCTAAGGGAGTTACACATAGCGAATGAAGGAGGGGGATGATAAAAGCGCCTGTATGTCAAGAAGAAGGTGAAAATTTCACAGAAAATTGTTTTCGCTTCAGAAAGTAGTTCTTGGATCTATGTTTACCACTATCATGCGTTAAAGCACCTTTTTTTTACTCCTAACTCTCTCTTCTTCCGTTCATTTAAGAAATTTTTCTCACATATTCTTGGTCGTAATTTTTTTCGTTTCTTATTTTGCTCTCTGTAAGAGGGGCGCGTTTTCGGCGCGCAAAGGGTGCGTATCTGCCAATGGCAGATTGGCCTTATGGCCAGTCCGAGCCTGGTCAAGCAAGTAAAAAATAAGCGCTGAGTAACTAGAATCTTCACCCGTATCTTTCGGTTTGATTTTGGTTGGAGGAGGAACAGGGAAATGTTAGAATGGGGGCTTTTAGTGCGCAGCGTGAACAGATTCACTAAAAATTCCATTAAATTTGCCTCTGACATTTTCAAAATTGGATTTGATATTTTTCAATCACATCCATTGGTGCGCTGTTCAGGCTATCTCCCTCCTTTCACTGAATCTTACATTGCAGTATCCGACGGATTGGACAGTGCATGAGGTGTAGTTGCTTGAGTAAAGTAGTTGGTTGTAAGTTGCTTTGAGGAGTATCGGTCCACTCACTCTCGTTGTAACTTTTGTATTCTTTCGGCGTTCATACTTTTTCAGAGCTTCTTCCGCAGTCAGTCATAAATCGACGGTGTAAGTCGGCAGTCACATAACTCGTTTGCGGTGTCTGAAAATCTACGCCTCTACGTCATTTTTTTAAGGAGAACAAATTGACATTATTTCTTGAAGTTTTTGCAGAATTTTCTTCGCATGGAGAAGAAAAATCATGACAGTTTTAAAGAATTGCCGTTAAGTAGTTTTCCGTTTAAAATATAAAGTATGACAGGAAGTCTGCGACGTCGCAAACCGAGTTATGTGATCACCGACTTACACCGTCGAAATGTGAAGTGATTAAGGAAAGCTTTCTTTTTTCCTCTTTTCTTTCCTGTAAATCCTTATTGTACAACCTTTTTACGTACCTAACATTTATGCAAACTTTTTTCTGTTCCAGCTAGCATACCAAAGTGCGGAGGGTGCCAGGAGCTGATTTTAGATAGATTCATTTTAAAGGTGCTAGAACGAACGTGGCACGCGCGTTGCCTCAAGTGCAGCGAGTGCGGAGGTCAACTATCAGACAAGTGTTTTGCTAGAAACGGTATGGTTTTCTGCAAGGAGGATTTTTTCAAGTGAGTAACCTCTATCTGATACTTTCTCACTCGGGGAAGTGGGCAAAATTGTCGGCCTTCTATGGTGTAGTGGTTGTAGCGCTAGCTCTATGATCGGGAGGTCCCGGGTTCGATTCCCGGCCAGGTGACCCGAGTTTGATGGTCTCAAACAATGGTTGCCTGGGACTGGTTGTTAGGGACGGAGGGGGAATGGGACTGGAGCGCAGGATTAGCCCTTGTGGGCTACTTGAAGTAGTAAAAAAAAAAAAAAAAGGAAACCCCTGTAATTTTCTCTTTGGGTGTGACACTTTGGAGGGTTAGAACTTGATGGAAATTTTGTAAAATCTACAAGCTGTAAAATGCTGTCACTGAAATTAGGTACTTAGCATTACAAATTAGGTAGGTAATTGTAGCAGTTGTTGAATTCGCAAAATTATTTTTTATGCACTCATGTCGATAACCGTCACATTAAGGCTCTCTACTGAAACCTAAAATGTTCCCATAAATACCCAAAAAGAACTTTCCGTAAAATGAAGGAGAAGAAAAATGAACGGCTTTTGTGCTTAATAACCCTCAATTAACCTCATTAAATATTATGTTTGTTAAAGAGGAAAAACTAAAATTCTTCCATCGCATTTTATAATGAAATTAGGGTAACTGATCGTTAGCCGTGCTCATGTCCATATTATTTTGCTTTACCTCAAGAATCTCATAATTGCGAGATCAATTGTTGATTCTTTCTTCGAAAAAATAATTGCTCAAGAAAATTTTAGAATAATGCGAAGAAAAAGTATTTTCCGCCTAGATTATGACCAGGTAACTAAAGAATCGGTGATATTATCAAATTTTCCTTTAAGCTTTTTTTTCAAATCAACATTTTGTGAAAATAACAACCCTCCTTCTCCGGCATTTTCTCACTCAGATCATTCTTTCTTCTTTGGCGAGGGGAACTACAAGTTTAAATCACTATCTGTCAAATTGTAAAGACAATTTTCAAAGGGCTAAAACTGTTTAAAAACTCACTTGCATAAAATGTTTGATCATTTTAATGAAATGCAGCGAAAGAGTTTTTGCAAATAGGTAATCAAAGCTTTTAAAGTTCACTGGCGCTGTCGTCAGATTTTGAAAGGTGTAACTTGTCATGGAGATTGTCCGTTATGTTTCTCCTCCTGCTACCATTCATTATACACACATTTTGTGAGTTTGAATTTTCTCAAGATTGAGTTAAATCTCAAGAGAAAAACACTTGCATAATAAATGACTAACTCAATCTGGTTTGTGCTAAGGAGGTACGGGACCAAGTGTGCTGGTTGTGAGATGGGCATCCCGCCGACGCAAGTCGTGAGGAGAGCTCAGGATTTCGTCTACCACCTCCAATGTTTCGCCTGTGTCATGTGTGGACGACAGCTCAACACAGGAGACGAGTTCTACCTCATGGAGGACAGAAAATTAGTTTGTAAACCCGATTATGAAACAGCAAAAGCTAAAGGTACGTTTATTGATCATAATTAAACCTTTCCATTCTTAAAATATCCCAAATCCAAACGAATATGCTGAAAGAAACGAGGCATCTGATAGGTATCAATAGTTATAAAATTTTTCTTTGAAACGGTGTATCTTTAGTTAAGAACCAGAGAAACTTGACAGTATGCATTCTCTACACTTTTCGTAAAAAATGTGTAAAAATTGGTAACGCCCAACACCAGGTCCAAGGTTCAGGGTTTATAAAATTACAAAATAGGTAGCACACCATCGAGTTAGGTGAACCTAACTCGAGGCAATGGAACTGTCGCATGGTTTTTCACTGATTTCTCGAATCTGTGAAAATAAAAATTACGATTCTTCGACCCTTAAACTACTGTTTATTCTGTATATAAATTGACAACGAAAAACCGTTTATATCTCATGTAGTTTTAAAATTCCAAATGCATACCTATGAATTTTTCCAAATCCATTTTTATTTGGGCCCTCAGAAAGTTGAAATACCGCATAAATTGTTAAAATATAAAATGAATTTTATTTCCAAAATTTTAACAGCACAATTTTCTGACGCAAAAATTACAAAAAGGCTTTAAGTAAATAGAAAAGGAAAGAAGAAACAAAAAAAATCCGGAAATCTGTATTTTATTACAGGAAATTTGGCAACAGACGGCCTTAAGGTAAATTTTCGGGGTGATCTGGCGTTTCTTAGCAAAGCAGCATGGTGTTCATCCCTAAACTACAAATCCTCCTCATCGCGCGGAATAAGGATGACTGTAATACATACACCGTGTCGGCGCTTGAAAACAAAGTCGCTACTAGTTCGCCTTCAAGTTAGGCGACGCAACCCAGATCCACACCGGAGTTAATTAAGTTGTATCAACCGATTGGCTGTATTCTGAATGTTTCTACGTGGCATTATTTACATTCGAGGAACTATCGAAAAATTGACCGACACTCTTGGTCACGCTAAGGAAAAACTCCGTGTGAATATTCGAATGTTGCAAAATGTCCCTCGAAAAAGAACGTATTTTTGAGGAAAGTTATGAATATTTTTCATTAAAAGTTTCAGAGCATTGAGATCAAATTGCGAAAAATCTTTACTAAAATAAATATTATGAGAAAAGCCACGTGGCAAGTAGTTTGATAACAAGTTTTAACTGTCAAATGTTTTATTGACACCTTGCTTATTCAACTCCATTTTTAATGTGTTTATTTTTTTCTACCCTTTCGTTTAAGTCTCCTAACTCATACTTTCCTTATTGTTCCTGAACATTTAACCAGAAATCCGTGTTTTATCAAAAGAAATTTTGCAACTACGGAGGGTTCATACGAAGTTTTCCCTTAGTAAGGCAGCATAGGTTTAATTCCTAAACTGCAATTCCTCCTCATCGCGGGATGGATGACGGTGGATACAACGTAGCGGCGGGTTGAGCGCCGTGCCGCGCCGCCTGAAAACAAAATCGCTACTGGTTCGCCTTCAAATTTGGCGACGCAACCCAACATCGCACCGAAGTTAATTAAGTTGTATCCACCAATTTGCTGTATTCTGAATGTTTCTACGTATCCTGAGGACCTACTTCTTACATTTCGGACATGATCTATTTATCGACAAGCACGCACAGTCATTCTAAGGAAAAACGCCGTATTGTATGCGAATGTTGCCAAATATCTCTAAAAACAGTATTATTTTTTAGGAAAGTCAAGCATATTCTTTTTCGAAAGTTTCAGAAAATTTAGATGAAATCACGAACAAACTTCTTTGAAAATTTGGGAGAAAGATATTCATCAGATGATCAAAGTACCTCTAACGGTGCTCGCCCCGTGTTTTTTATTGCACTGGTTGTATATGATTTTTTGAAGCTCCGAACAAACAACTACCTGGAAGATTCATAAATATAATTTCTAAATACTCTCATGTATTCAATATAACAGTTTGCTGCTTCTAGCTCGCTTTTTTGAATTGAGAATTTCGCTCAGCATGCACGGCTTTATTTGAAGATATTCACCTTATTTATTTATTCATCCAATTGTTTCAGAAGTAACGTTTTTTTTAAAAAGAACTGAAGGAATGAAATTATGATGCACAGCGTTGTATATTAAAATACTTGTAAAACATCCATACAGTATGTTGATAAGACGGGTCTTTTACATAATGTTCAGTACAATTACATAGTTTTACGGTTTGAAAACTTTGAAAACGCGCGTGTTTCTTGAATTCTATCAATAAAATGTGAAAAAGCTCCCTAAAAATACTTATGAATAATAAATTTTACTTTAAAATTCCTGTTTCAGATGGAAACTGCCTGGAAGGAGATCAACCAAATAAAAGGCCTAGAACAACAATAACCGCAAAACAATTAGAAACCTTAAAAATGGCGTATAATAATAGCCCTAAACCAGCTAGGCATGTCAGGGAACAACTTAGTCAAGACACAGGCTTAGATATGAGGGTAGTTCAAGTATGGTTTCAAAATAGGTGAGTAGTTTTGCACATTAAGTGTATTGATCTAGTTTATTTTTCCGGTACATAATTGCACATACTACGCATGATAGGATCACGCGCTTGCACCGTAAAGTTGATAGAAGAAGGTGTTTAATACGATGCAACTCGATGTTGAATGGAAACTGGAAAATCACACGTCCTCCAGAATCCAGATCTGAAAAAATGTTCTTTCTATTTATTTATTTATTTATTTATCTATCTATTTATTTTTTTTCGGAAAAAACCGCAACCTTCCTTTTAACGCACAAGAAATTACATAACACCATCGAAAGAGCAACTACAAAAACACTAATTTAATCCGAGAAATGCACTCAGTACACCAGAAAATATTGCAGTACGAATCAATTTTTATAATACTCTATGTAATGAACAGCCAAACAACGCACAGAGCAATATAAACTTGGGTGTGCCTGTGCTGTTAACGTCTCTTTAGAAAATGGTGACAATGGTCACCAGGGGCTGGTGGTAAGCGGGGGATCAGCCAGTAAGGGCTATTTGAAGCTTGTAAAAAAAAAAATAAAATAAAATAAAATAAATAGGCACTTGGTGTTATGAGGTTACTGAAAAAAATTGATGGGTCATTCCTCCTTCCCACGATCTACGCAAGAAATTTTAGTCCAACTCGGGTTTAAGAGTATAAATTATTCTCACGCCGACACCACTATTTAAAATAGTAAACTAGATGGAATTTACTTAAAATTACTATAATTTAACTGTCCATTCTTTTTTCCAGGAGAGCGAAAGAAAAACGACTGAAGAAAGATGCGGGAAGAAGTAGATGGAGCCAGTATTTCAGATCTATGAAAGGTGGAGTGTCTCCTCGACATGATAAAGATGATATGAAAGTTGATTTAGATTCTAATTTTAGTCATTCGCATGGTAAGTTCCTCCTAAATAAGATGCAATTTTTTGAGAGAACCAATTTTTTAGGGGGGGAAAAAATTAGAGAAAAGGTAGCACGGCCGTGATAACAGTAAGCGGGCCTCTCCGTTTCACCGATAGTTGATGATATGGAAAAAGTTCGAGCGCGTGTTTCAGTCCCATTCATTTCCTCTGGCGCAACAAGATTCGCCTCCAATGGGCAAAGTAGGCAAAAGCGTGTACTCCAGAGCCGCAATAGTTGAATCCCCGTTTTGTACTAATGGACAGACGTCTTTCGACAGAGGACGGCGGATGCGACGCCGCCGCCGTGATGAAGACACCTTCTGGTTTTTCAATTTCGGGGTGAAATTTCCGAAATTAGTAAAAAAAAATTTAAAAAGTATTAGCCGATACGAATGAACCTCATGTATTCAGATTCAGACATACCTTGTGGAGCTATTGGTATTGATCCTGGAGTTCATTTTTTCATCCCAATATTCGTGTCTAAAGTTCAATTGCTAAAAAGTTATAGGTAGGGTCAATTTTTAACTTTCGGCAAGTTTACATCAAAATCACGAAAATGTTACAAAAAATCAATCCTTGCTCGCAATATCCTTCAATCATCAACCCATCAGTTCCTTGTGATTTCCGCATTCGGTTGTTGCCTACCTACGTTATCCGTATTCATGGAAAGTTAATGGTAAATAATTGGATTTTTTTCCTTCATGGCAAAAAACGAGAGGAAAGGAACAATCTACACGTTGCGGACTTCAAAAATCGATTTCGGGAATTCTATTCTACCATGGTTGATGAATAACAGGTTCTACTGTTTCTCGTTTTAAATAAATGAGATCCTTCTTCGGATATCCTAAAATTGATGATTGGAGGCTACCAGTCTCCTCCCTTTCACTGACGTGATTTTGAGGACTTCCGAAAAAATTAGTTTCTTCCTTCTTCCCAAGTAGCACAGCGCAACGAAAATATTGAAATTACATTTCAATTTATTGATTTAAACAGAATTTTAATTTTTTTTACCATTAAATTGCAATATTTTTACATAATTCAGTCGATTTGTGCCGACTTTAAACAATAAACAAAATGAGCTCCGTGTGTCAGAAAGATAGGCAATGTGAAATGCAATGAAAAATTGCAACTCATTTTTTAATTGCAATGATTTTCAATGAATGGGGCCCCTTCAAATAGGAGCTAGGCAACATACACAACACTCAGTAAAATTGCAATACTTTTACAATGTGATTGCAACTTACTGCAATCTGTGCTACTTGGGTTTCTCTTTTTTTCTTCACGCGAAAAAAGGGTGCGACATATAGGACTCACAAATCATAATAGAAAATCTCCGGAAATCGATTTTTGAAGTTTGCGACGTAAATTGCTGTACCTGTTCTCGAGTTTTTCTTGTTCTCTGAGTACAGTTCATGAGAATTTTTTTTTTTTTTTTTTTTCCATTTCAGATCTAGAAAGCAACGATAGTTATGGTACTCTGGGACTCGAAGGTGAGGGTACGTCGCCACACAGCCGATTTTTACACGGTGGCAGTTCCTCTCCGGCCTACCTCTCCTCACCGACCCATCCTCTACCATATAGTGGTGAGTCTTTTACTTAAGTACATAGGGTCGTATTCGTTTTCGTTCCTGAAACAGTTCTTCCTTTCAGTAGGCCAGCAGGCGCCATGTGATTTTCACTGTAATTAAAGAAGATTGAACAAGACCCTTAATATATAGCATCATAAAAAGGACGATTTTTGCAAATCTCGAGAAAAATTCAATGAAATAACTTTGAAAATGGATCCTTGCGAGGGATATACAACTATTTGCCACTGCAAAAAGTAGGTACCTATACAAAACGTCGTTTCCCGCACGAAGAAACGTAACTCCATCAGGGCCGGATGCACCTACTTGCCGCCCGTGGGCCGCCTGTATTTTGCCGACCCCTTCTCATTCGTTTTAAAACATCAATAAAGACCATCAAGGGAACGTGCAGCGGGGAGAGGTGCATAAGACGCGTATACTCGTGTTGGACACATTTTTTGCGAAGCCCTGTCGACATTACCAGCAAAAGTTCACGGAACTTTGCGCGAAAGTTAAGTTCCGTCAACCTATCTCTGTGTGAACAAGGCCTACCATTTATAAGAAATGAACGAAAAAATTATGAAAGAACAAACTGACCGCACTGTGTTTGACGCAATGCGTGAAGAATTCCTGAAGTCAAATAGGCGCTGTGCGTTTCACACCGACCGCTTCTGAACGCACTGTGTTTGACGCAATGCGTGAAGTATTCATGAAGTCTTGTAGGCGCTATGCGTTTCATGCCGACCGCCGCGCCGCGCCACTCCGTTCCAGGTTAAATTGCATATCGACGGTGAAACTACCAAACCACGTATCTCGTTTGCGGTGTTTAAAAATCTACGCTCACATTTTATTTTTTTGAAGTAGACCGAATCAATATCATTCCTTGAAATTTTCACGGAATTTTCTCCGCACAAAGAGGAAAAATCACAGAAATTTTCAAGACTGGATGTTAAGTAGTTTTTCATTTAAAAAATAAAGTATGACAGGAAGTCTGCGACGTCGCAAACCGAGATACGTGGTTTGGTAGTTTCACCGTCGATATTTGGTTTCTCCCTTAACTCGGCTAATTAAAGGTGTTGTCTCTTGCATCACCGAAAGACGACAAAATTAGAAATTACTATACTTTTACCCTTAGGAAATGAGAGATTCTGTCGCCTTCTCTCGTTTGTAATTTATTTTCTGAATCCGATTTTTTTCTCTCCGAAATTTTGCATCGTCGCAAATCGAGATACACGTTCCCGTTCCAGCAGTTTCGCCCTCGATGTTTTCTTCTGCTATTTTTTCTTTGCGTCTAAAGCAGGGAGGAATCTGAGTTCGGGCGACACTGCTGCCCACATCCCACATGTGCCAGGAATACACTGCCGAAAATTCTACCCCTGGCAGCCGCGAGGGACTGACGGAGGGAGTGACCGCGCCTCCCTTAATAGCAATGGCTCTTTAAAAAATTTTATAAATAGTTGTAAAAAAAATGTAAATAACAATTTAAAAAACTTGTAAATTTTAAGAGTTCGTAAGTTTTAAGTAAAACAACTCTTAAAATACTCGTTTTAGGAAATCCTTCTGAGGAATTCTTTTAAAAAAAAATTGTGCTATTTTAATTAAAAGAAAACATAAAATTTGCGTAAAAATTAAAAAAAAACAGTACCTATCCTCAATTTTTATGGGCTGCAACTTTTCCTTTTATACTTTTCTGTTCACCACTTTTTCCCCTCGTTTTTGGCTGCAGGAAGTTTATAAAAAAAAAAATACGTAAATTTTAAGTAAAATTTACGTAAAAAAATTTACTTCACATTTATCTTTGAGTATATGTTAAAAAATCCCCAAAAAGGGTTTCCTGATACGAACATTTCAAGAGTTTTCCTACGTAATTTTCAAGTGGTTTTGAAGTAAATTTTAAGTTCTCTTAAAGTTTACGTGTTTTTTACAACTTTTCTCAACAGCCACTGCTACTAGGGCCCCTGGCCCCACTCGCTCGATGGTCAGGAACAAGCGAGTGGGTTCGGACCCCTGCCACAAGCCTCTGCTGCAGTTCTTTTTGTTTAAAAAAAGGACGAATTATTTCCTACTTTCTTCATCTTGTAGTCGCATTTTAATGAGTTTTTTCTCTTCTTCTCTTTCAGGAGTCTCTCATCATGCAGGGTCAGAACTCAGCGATGGAAGCAGCACACACGGTTACCCTGACTTTCCTCCGAGCCCAGATTCTTGGCTTGGCGAACCTCCTACGCATCGTTACTGATGATAAATTATACTTTTTTTAAACTTTCACTTGTATTATATGATAAAAAGTAATTATGATAAATTCATTAAATTTATAAACTTAAATAAGGGTGTTTGGGCTGGAATGGGGCAATACCTAAGGTAGTAGCAGACGCTTCTACAAAAACTGTAAAAATAAATATTAAAAAATGTCTTGTGGGTAAGAAAACAATTTCAGATACTTTGTTGCATTCGAAAAGATATTCTTAAATTTTAAATACCAAGTTTCCAAAGTATTTTTCAAATGAATTGCCTCGTTTTATCTAGTTATGTACCTCCTAAAATCCATGACAGTACACTATATGTTCCAACATTTTATTTATTTGAAATTTGTGAATTCTTGACATTGACATTTCGAGTTGTTGGAGTCACTGCTACTATGGTGCTCATTTTACAAACAAAGATCGCCACTGCTAAATATTAATCAATTTGGTCAAAACCATGAAATTTTAATGAGTGGTGAATACCCGTAGGTAATGCATATAATGGAGACATACCTACAACACATACCAGCATGAGAATGAATGCTCACTACAAAATCAAAATTGTAATCTATTACATGCTCTTCCTTTTTCTTTTGACACCAGATGAACCGTGGAAATTGAAAAATTGAATAGTTAGCGATATGATTTTAAAGCACCTAGCAACAGCCGAAAATGCCGTTACGAAGACGTTGCTACGATATGAATAGCATAAAGTTGTAAAAACGTTTTCCTGACCACATTTTACCAGGCAAGAAGTAACCTGGAGATTTATATGAAAAATTAGACCTAATGTGTCTATCTGTTGACGATATTGTAAGAATACAGCAGTATTTTTCTATTTTCACGAGAGATAATTGCTGCTTGTCAACTGAAGCATCTTTTGAAGGTCAACTTGGGTGGAATCAGAAAAAAAGATGAAGAAAATCTTGATCAAAAATATTCTGAATTGCCTGATTTAGTTATTCAAATCGCGAATTCAGCTGAAACGGCACTCCAGTGTATAAAACTCATTCACACTGTATTTTAGTTTTTATTTTCTGTAAAAGAAAGAGGTGAGGGTCCTCATGTGACAAGTTATGATTTAAAACTGCTTCTAGTCATACTAAATTTATCTAGTCTTCATTGTGATCCAATTTTAATTGTGTTAATAATTGATACCTTCTTGTTGAACTAACATACTTTATTTGAGCACCATGTTAAGACGAAAATTTAAATAAATTTACAAGATATTACTCATGTCAATGCTGATTACGTAAACAGCTTCCCTTTATTTGTTCATTTAACGGAGGAACTTTGTTGGAAAAATGTATCTCACAAGATAAATAAAAATCCAATTATAAATATTTTAAACCCCTGATGGAGGTTCTTTAAAATTCGGAACACCTTCCAAATATCTTAAGACTGATGAATTTGATTTAACCGAAGGTTTCTTAGCATCTGTATCAACATCATTATATATTTTGGTGCTATTTATAGGCTTGAGCAGAAAATAGTATTGAGAGACAGTAGGTTAAAATCAGGTAGAAAACAGCTGAAATTCGGACGAAAAATCAAAGTGAGAATGATCAGGAAATTCTTTTAACACAGATAGCAGCAAAACTATTGAAAATAATTGAAATAACTGTAAAATTACCATTTATAAATGAAACAAAAAAGTAAGTAAAATGGAAATAAGAGAAAAATTTATTTAAATCTATTTACATTAATACACATGACATTCCAAGAATGATTTGTAAATAGTAGAACTGTGTATAGAACCACTTTTGATATACATAATTGTAAAAATTTTCTATTATGTTTCATTCGATTTCCTTTTGTTTTTCTTTACGTCTCCTCTTTTCTGATCTTTTTTTTTTGTCCAATAAATAAATGTTAATAAAATTCTAGTCATTCATTTCAACTGGGAGTAGTTTTTATTATTTTTATTTTTCATTAACGACCCTACATTTCAATCAAGGTGTTAGTAAGTACCTTCAAAAGCCTTATTGCCACTTCCCTTTACACATGAACGCTTTGAGAAACAGTCGTAAAAAAAGGTTATTTAATAATGGCTAATGCTCAAAAATAAAGCAGGAGGCGAAGTAATTTTTCTTAACAAGAAAAAAAATTAGGCAACATTTATTTTATCAAGCCATGACAATGTAATTATAGACATATTTGTATATTATTTTGACAAATTCGATCAGGTGTAATTAAATTATGATGCATCTTAACCAAAGTATTTCATCAAGTCTTGATTTAATAATAGTTTTAAAAAAAACTTGACAAACTTTTCGGCTACAGAATTTTTGATCACTAATATAACAGGTTTTCGTTTTATGTCTTTTAAGTGTTGCGCTCGGTTTTCTTTTGATTTAAACTTGGAAAATCTGCATTGTAGGGTAACATTTTCCTCCAATGTGTTAAAAACTGCCTGATTAAAAAGTTTCAGTTTTGAATCACCACTGTTGATGATTTAAGTACTTTTCTGTGTTGCTCCTTTTTTTCTTCAACAAACTTTCGTAAAGATAATTTCTAGGTGAGAAAATTAAACTTAATATGAAAAGCAAAATAAGAAAAGCTAACAAAGAGGGTATAGGAGGCATCTTCATTTTCCCTTATTTCTCAGATTACAAAATAATGCATGTGGAGAGTATTTTCCTTATGTCACTGATAAATTAGAAAAGGTTCCAAAGGTTTTCCCACATGAGGAATTAAAGTACGAATCATGTGAAAACATAACAACCTTCGAACCCAACAAACCTACATCTCAGACTCCATGATGAACAATAAGTGTTTTGAATTTGATACAATAGATCAAAGTCAAATACTTTTGCCATTACTATGTAGACATTTGTGACAAATAGCAAGGGAGCTTTAACGTAGACAGGAATAACCAAAAAGGTTCTTGGATTATGAGCAAAGAATGGTTCGTTAGAATAAATGTTCCTCCACTTCCGGTAAAAATAAATTGAAAAAAACAGAAATTCATGTCATTTTTGAGAAGTTTTCACCTCATGACATGGCTCAGCTAAATTTTGAGATGATGGTTAAATAGAGTAAACTTAGGATTAACATGATAAATATTGTTCCTCAAAAACAGCGAGCAACAACTTATCAAAATTAGAAGCACAGCCAAAATATCAAAGAAAACACTCTAAATTGATATAAACCAATTGCTCACCGAGTTGAAAACTGTTAATCTTACTTCACAAATAGGAAACTTTTCTTCAAAATCAAAGATGGTAAAAGAGAGGGGAAGGAACAGTTAAAAAACTATCAACCTGATACTCTAAAAACTAGCACGTTCTTTACCAACAGACAGGATGGCAGAAAAGGTTCCTTCACAGCACTTACTATAGTGATCTTCAGAAAAAATGATGCAGAGAGCAACCAAAGAAATTAGATTTGAAAACACGGTAATCCTGAGGAGATGCTCCATGTGCTGTTGTAGCAGAAAGTTGGTGTAAAACGTCTTTTCTCTCTTTGATGACCGTTCAAACAAAAGTTTTGTAGTTTTCATTGCAATGAAAGCACTCTTCTTTTTTTTGCGATTAGCAAAGCACGGTACATAAAGCTAAGATCAAAATTGATATATTGTAAAGTTTGTGGAAATTTTTGATGAGAAGATAGGAAAAATCGGTTGTAGTATACCACGTAAAATCTAGTTCTTCTGTTCTTCCAATACCTGGAATAGAAAAATGCTGCAATTACATTGCAACATATTTTAAAAAAAAACAAGAGCCACAGTTTTTCCAGGTAATTTGGGCCAGCCAAGTATGAAAATTCTTGACTGTAACAAAATGACTTGCAAATAGTTTGGTCCTTAAAACTCTAACCAAGCCTGAACTCATTTACAACATAGCTGGTTGAGCTTTGATACCATAAAAATCTATTTGTAATGGTTTAAAATACAACGATAGTTAGTGTTAGAAAATTATTCAGTTTAAAATTTCCCTTCCCTTGAGAGAATGAAAAAAGGCAGGTGGTCGCTTTTAATAGACAAGCATTGTTGGGTGAAAATATTTCTCAAGAATTTACCTTTACAAACAAGGGAAGGTGAATTTTATGAAGCCCACTGCTGCAATTCTTTCATATCATCATCATCTTCCTCTTTCTTCTTGCCTGTAACAAAAATGTAAAGAGAAGCGATTGAAGCGCAAGGCTGCATATAAGAAAGGACATTACTTTATTTACAATTGAAGCGGTCAGGTACAAAAGGGCTCAAGCGCCAAAAATGATAATTCAAGAAAAATGGTATAACCATTTTAATCGACCCCTTATAAATCTCAGAGCTCTAAAAAATTAAAGTGATGAATTAAGTAATTACATTATTAATTAATCTGCAATTTAAAACAGGTTAGTTCTTATAGTTTTGACTGTTTTTTGTTGTATTTTCATATCTGGCTCTTGAGCCCTTCTGTAACTGACCGATTCAAATCTTAAAAGCATGAAATCAGCAATGGGTATAGAATGGTAAATTTGGCGAGTTGGAGCTCGTCTGATGACTCTGAAGTGATGGCAGCAGTTTTTACAATGAATAATTTAACCTCCCTTGACATTATTTATTAATAGTAATCTCGGAGAACATGAGTTCCATGAAACCATTCATCAACGATAATTCATTTTCTCATTTATTCCGTACTGAAATGAAATGACACAACAAAATTCCTCAATTGGCCTTTTTTGATTCGTCTTTTATTTCTTTCTATTGAATTTAGTAGAAGAAACACAAAAAAGAGCCATATTTTCTTTAGTATCATTCTTTTGCTCTCTTTGAAACGTCTTAGACACTCTTATACAACTACCAGAAAAAAAGCTTTCTCTCTTGGTTCACAAAGTAGATTTCTACTTATCTGCAGGATGCAACAACTTTTCAGCTTTCCCATTTTTCAAATTGGTTTTTCTATTTGTCTCCTTTTACTTCAGAAATTTCAAAATGATGACCTTGTCTAGCCACAATCTAGCAGAAAGCGTATAATTTTTACCACAGTTTAGCAAAAGTATAGGACTTTTGACAACCTTCCCATTCATAAAACCTGTCTTTGGAGCTCCCTCGTTTTATTATTACGACCCGCCCAGTCAATAAATTTTTACACTTCTGAGCGTAAGTACTGTATAGAGATTGAGGGATCCTGCCTAAATAAAGAGGCAACTTACCACTTGATTTATCTGCCACTTTAGCAGGCTCTGCAGAAGGCACAATTGGCAGTGCTGGTGAAGGCCCAGTGCCGAGAAGTTCTTTGTCTAGTTCTTCCTGTTCTAGTTCTTCTAATTCTTTCTCTAATTCATCTTCATCAATGTCATGGCCAAATGCGACTGGATTTGAAATGGCCTCAGAGATTTCCTTAGCAACATCTTGCTGTTCAGCAATGTCATCCATCATATCATGCACTTGATCAACATCCCTAGATCAAAGCAAAAGAAATAATTAGAATCAAAGTTTGTGTGCTTTTGCGGTTGGTTACATTTAAAATTGCACAAAATACAAACATTGAACCTATTGTGACTGAAATGAAAAATTCAGGATGCACTTTATTTAAAAGAAAAAAATAAATATTACCATTCCCCGCATTGTGATAGTGCTTCAATTTTTTCAAATAACCATGTACATACAAGATGTCGACGGTGAAACTACCGAAGCACGTATCTCGGTTTGCGACGTCGCAGACTTCCTGTCATACTTTATTTTTTAAATAGAAAACTACTCAACGTCAATTCATGAAAACTTCCGTAATTTTTCCTCTTTGTGCGGAGAAAAATCTGTGAAAATTGTAAGGAATGATATTGATTTGATCTCCTTCAAAAAAATAAAATGTGAGTGGAGATTTTTAAACACCTAAAACGAGATACGTGGTCTGGTAGTTTCACCATCGATGTATGGTTTTTCGGTCTGTAAACTACCCCTGCTAATGCAAAAGTAAGTGAGTGTCTTAGGTATAAAATTTTCAAATTCCCTGACCTTCTAACAAAATTTCCACATGGTTTTTTTTAAATACCTACACTGACTTTCGCTTTTGGACATAATTTCCTTGTTGGAAGATCCAGTTATGGAAACAAGCATTCAGTAGCTGGTTAAAAGATGACATGCCTTCATAAGACCACAAAAGGTGAACAGTTGGAAGATCTGTGGTATGTTTTGGTGATTAGTAGCTGTGTTAGAAATTCCCTGACTTTTCCCTGTCGCTGCAAATTACCTACTTTCCCTGAATTTCCTGGTTTTCCAGACCCCCGGCAATTCTGCTATGATCAAGGACTTTTCAAAGCATCACAAGCCCTGACTCTTGCAGGCAGCTACTTGAAATAGGGATTCTTTGTCAGGTGGGAAGCTACAACTCCCTGAATCATTATTTTGTAACTTAAAGTTACAGCAAACAAAAAAATAAAAAGAAGTAAACCTATGGGAGATTCAAAATTGATAGGATCGTACATGTGTTTGTGAGCGGCTTTGAGCGCATCTGCAGCATTTTTCATGGTAGTTAATACAGCTGTGTTGGTATTGGCACCTTCCAGTGCTTCTCTTTGCATTTCAATTGTAGACAGTGTGCCATCGATCTGTTGTAACTGTTTCTCAAGCCGCTTCTTCCTCTTCAACGCCTGAATAGCAGCTGTGGAAAAAAAAATGAAGGATAAGTACTGCAAACGAAAACTGATCCAGTTAAGTATGCTCTGTGTGGAAACTCTTTCAGTTTTTTTTCCGGTTTCCTCTACAGATAAATTTACAGGAGGTTCTTAGCGCAGCAACAATTGTTCCAGATTTTCTGCGTATAAAAATGAAGTTGGTAAAAGCATTGCAATTATCAACTGAAAAAGGTCATCCTTTTTACTGCTCATCCTCTTAATGTTCTAGAATACGTAACTTTTCACCATCTTCAAACCTTTCAAAAATTTATTTCTACTTCAGTTGATGTGAAGCTGTAAGTCAAAGAGACATGATGACATGATGAGATTTCTCTTTCCAGAAGTCAATTGATCATGTTTCAATTTCAAATCCAAGCAGAGAATCTTCCTAATCCGTACGTAATAAATTTAAAACAGAAAATCTTCTTTCTAAGCAAGTTTACAGCTTTTTACGAATAGGTTGACAACTTCATTTCATTTGTTATTTCAAGCAATTACAATAACAGACAAGATTTAGTGGCAACGTAATTTGATCAAAATTTCTGTTTGGTGGTTTAAATTCAAACAGAAACATAACCTAATCATACTCATGCCACCGTGGTTGAATATGTTGAGTTGTTTTTTGCCGTGTAACATCTCAAATCTGATGAGTCACACATTGATTCATGATTCATTAATGTAGGATTAGTCAAGCACCATAATCAATGATACGCTATCAAAACCAAATTTTGACATAAGGCTATGTTATAAAAATTGCATGAATGACATAGCAGCTGGATGTGACTATCAGAGAGGTTGTGTGATAGACTTTTTTTTTATAAAATGATTGAAAATCTCCATCAAGATAACACACCACTATCAGGGAGCTGTTCAATTATTTGGAAACAAAACTTAGACAGTATATACTAACATGAGCTTGCCAGTATTACTGCTTGCGCATCAATCATTGGCACAAACAGGAGTTTAATTTACGATGCCGATAAGCATAGGTATACCGAAACTAGATTTGTGATCTCTCCGTTAATCTTGGACGAAGTTAGGACTTAGGGTGTCAATTAATAAGTTGGCAAAGAAATAGATACTAAATAATATTGTTAGGTTTCAACCTAAGATGGATTAGTCATTCATCAATTTTAAGGTTGATGAAAATAGTTCCTGTTTAGGCTGACGTCTCCAATCTCACAGGAGCTTCATGCAGCTCAATGACGGTGGCAAGAAATAAAGCGAGTAAGTCTTGCTAATTTTATCAGAGATTATGCATTTTGACCCTTAACAAGATAAAGAGATCAAAGACAATGAAAGTTCAGGATGATGATGAAGCTGGATGACTTATCAACAGATGACATGTACTCAAGGATTCTTGATCGTAATGATAGCAATGCGGTCATTCAAGGAAGAGACCAAAGCGGATACTTACCTCTTTTGTTTTTGGATCCATTAGCTTTGGCAGTCTGAATTTCTTTTTCAATCCTTTTCTCTAAAAATTCCTGTTTCTTCACTAACATTTCCTCAGTTTCCCTCAACTTTTGAATAGCTTCCCCTGTTGAGGGAGCTTTATCCTCCTTTTTACCACCGAACACTTTTGCTAGGAAACTCATATTGACTTAATGTTATTTCTAGCACTTAAAAGTAATTCAATTTAGAAATGAATAAAGAAATACTCGATAAATTACACCATGAGTCACTCTAAAGAAGTTAGAATTGCACTCCGCACCTAACCAAAACCAAAACTCCAAAATCCAAAGACAAAACACGACAGTCAAGTCTGATAAAGGACAGAGATCGAAGGCTATGTGTTTATATGTAACCGGAAATTCCGTTTTATCACAAAGCTTCCAGCTTGCCAGAGTTCAGTTTAAATGCACATAAGTCTGTTAATTTTAATAACGTTTTTAACTAACTGGCATCAACGCTACTATTCAAACTGCAAGAGCGGGAAATGTAAAGTTTAAATCTGTCACTTGCAGTGAAGAAAAATTGGACCACATTTTGCAATTGGGAACTATAATTTCTGACTCAGTTTAGAAATAACTTATGAGCCATTAGTTTCCCGATGCACAAAAGTGTTTTTAAGGATGAGCCAGAAATTTTAGTTCCTAATTGCAAAATGTAGTCCAATTATTCTTCTCTCATTGTCTGTCACACAAAAGAACTTAACGGAATAATCAATAAGATATACTTAGAGCTTGATCTGAATCTAAATAATGCGTAGAAAAATTTTATTTTTATTTTTTGGGATGATAGTTTCCAACTTACCGTAGTTATACTGATGCCATGAACCTCAAGAACCTGCAGATCATGGAAAGAATTTGGAGCATCCGAATAGTGGATATTTAATGATCAAAACCAGAGAAATTAAATTCCATGGTAATTTTATAAGGGAATGAAGTTTTCTTTAGAACTTAATCCTTAGTCGGTGACGCACGCATGTGTTTTGATGGCTTTGGTCGAAAGATGCACATCTCCACTGCAAGGTTTAAAAATCTGCAATTATTGTCTCCTCTTTTTTATTTTAAAAGGAATGAAATGAAAATCTTCTTTGAAGTTTTTGTAAATATTTTTTAATTAAAAAAAAAAGATAAGTATACCTAAATAAAGTAATTCTGAGAGGAACTGATATACTTGGCTCTCATTGAAAAAAATCATGCGCGAAGATTTGCTGCAATATGAGGAGGGAATTTTTCGACTCTATAGCCATCGATTTTATTATGAAAATTTCCGTCAAATCAAAAAGAAAATTTGAAACCATTCTCAAGTGTCTAACTTCACAATGCGCCAAGTGAAAATTTGCAACATTCCAAAGCAATAAACCCCCACTGCCTCTAGTCCTTTCAACTGGACTAAGTTGAATGTGCATGAGAGAGAGTAGTTTACCTACTTTCAAAATCACCTTTACTGAAATTGACAACTGTTGTGGAGGCATAATGTCCACTTAATAGGAACGATTTTTGAAAATTACCTATCCTTAACAACTCGTTTGAAATTTCAGACTCCCATTGTGTGGCTCTAATTATTTCTAGCTGAGCCCCTAAGAAAAAACCTCTGTAAAACAATAGGATTCTGCTATCTGAGTTAACATTGACAAACACCCATGCTCAATCTAAAAGTTGCATTCCGCTACCTTGTTAAGATTATAGAAAGTTGTAAAAACTCTGAGATGACGAACGTCGTAAGCAAAAACAGGACTTTCTAGTGGATCTTCAAGAATAATTCATGCTTAAGCTTTGAACTCCAAGACATGCTTACCTCCACATTTTGACAATTATTTCCTGTGAAAAAATCACTATCCAGCAAAAATTGCATGACTGATTAATCCTTCAGCACCTACATATTTATGAATTTTGGTTTACTTTTGAGTTTCTTTTGTTCCATTGCGTAAAAAAAAAAAAAAAATTGAATGAAATGTGACCATCTCAAAACAAAATTCTTTTGTCATCATTGACAGATGACGATAAAATTTAATTAAAATAAATAAATAAATAAAAAAATTATGATGATATACTGAAATAAAATTTTCTGCAATAAAACGGATCATTTTTTACGAGTTGGGCAGTTCCCAGAGCAAGACATTGAATTAGACTGCTGCTTTGCTGAAAGTTACGTGCAATGACAAGAAATACGATTTTAAAACTGCCATACTAAACAACAGTCCCAAAGGAGTATAGTTCTCTTCCTAGTCTTCAAGTAAATGAATAGATAGCTGAAGAAAGATGTGATCTTATACAGACAGTAAAAATTAGTTTATTACAAATGGTATTAATATTACAAAATACTCTAAAATTAAACAATTTATAAACAATTAAAAAAGCTTAGGATTTGTACAATGTATTTTCTTATATTGGCTTGTAATCTAACTTAGATTCTAGTTTCTTATTATCTGCAACCTTACGTACAGCTTTCATAAAATCTTCTTGAATAACATATTCTCTTTCTGCTCGAATGGCAAATAATCCAGCTTCGGTACACACATTCCGTAAATCAGCGCCATTGAATGAATCTGATAGTTTCACAACTGCTTCATAATCTGAAAATTTAAGATACAGCAACTTAAAATCTGCTCAAGAAAGTGTCTTCCTATTTTTTAAAAAAAAAAATGTAAATAGTAAAAACTTATTTTTACATAAAATATCGGTGAGCTTTTTTCAGTTTTTGCTTCATTCAAAAGTTTTTTCAGATTTAACAATCTTTTAGTGAGGAGAACAGATTCTTCCTGACCTTGCAACTTAGTTGTATATATAAAGTTGCTTTACAACACACTCTGGCGTTCTACGACACCCAAACGCCACATATGCCCGTCTTCCCAGAGGTTATAGGGCAACTGACACCGCAACATCTCTTCGCCAACGCCCTGCCGCCAACCCTTTACGGGACGTCCCCGACGCCTCTTCCCAGGTGGTACCCAATCCAAAACTTAGTTGTCATGTACAAAAAGTATTAACCCGATGAAATATGAGAAAGCATTTGATTTCTTCCCTCCAAATATTTTTCACCAAATGTTCAGCAAGACAAAGGCGGAATAGAATGGTCTTAACTCTCTAACTGAAAAAAAAAACGCACAAAAAACAGTGTTTACCTACGAAATTGCAAAGAGCTTAATAAAATGAGAAAATTTACCTATGTCACCATGCTTGGACATGGGCCGCCCATGAATTTTCAAAATTTCAAGCCTGGCTTGTTCATTAGGGAGGGGAATTTCAATTTTCCTGTCAAGACGACCTGGTCGCAGTAAGGCAGGATCTAGTGTGTCAGGACGATTTGTAGCCATGATCATTTTCACCTGAAAATTGAACATAGAAAAATAATGTGTCTCAGTAAATGAAGTGAGAATGCAAAATGCCTTACTTCACCAGGTGCTACTGCCTGTCTGGTTTTTAGTAATTTTGCAATGTGATTGCTGCTGGAACTACCGAAATTTAAATTTTTATGCAGTTGCAACTCTACATTTTTCATTTTTGTCAAATAAAAAAAAATTCGCTCCCAGTTTATTTCATTGAACAAATTGAACAAATCAATATCATTCCTTGGAGTTCTCATAGAGTGTTCTTTGCACCAAGAGGAAAAATCATAGAAGTTTTCAAGAATCAACGTTGCGTAGTTTTCCATTTAAAAAATAACGTACAGCCAGAAGTCTGCAATGTCCCAAACTGAGGTATGGTGGTTTCACAGTCAAAACAGAATCTACTTCAATTGATTGAATTGCGTCTGACAATGTAGTGCATCACAAGCTAAAACTAATGGATGAAATATCCAAAGGAGAGAAAATTGAGAGCAAAGCTGATTAAAAGATAACATTTACCTGTCCTAAAGAGTCAAAGCCATCCATTTGATTGAGAAGCTCCATCAAAGTACGCTGAATTTCACGATCAGCCGATGTACCTTCAGAAAACCTTTTTCCACCTGGAAGATTCAACAAACAAATGATTTTTTAGAGAAATGAACAAGGATTCTTGTAAAAGAGTTCTATAAAAATATTAACACAGCAATGAATCTTGAAATTATCTTTTGATGATAAAAATCTCTTGATATTGAAAAAAGAAGAATAATAAGATAAGTTTTGCTAAATTTCTAAACAAACATAAATTTTAAATGAGAAGCTTGTTTATTTACTTGGTGTGGGTATTTCAGTTTGTGAGGACAAAAACTGAGTGAGAGCTTGGAATGAATGAGACTTTTGAGAGACAAAAAGAGATAGAAGAGAAGAGCCTTTAGGTAAATTTTTGGGTGTGGTATACACTTTTGTTAAAAAAAGATCCCATTTGCGATTCTTAAACTGTCAGTGAAAAGTTACGTGAAAGAACTTTTCTCAACACTTTGGCCTTCATTATTTCCTCTTTGAAAATTCAGGGTGTTTTAAGCAACCTGAACTTAGTATTGATATTATTGGTATACATATTAGTATAACATTATTGATATTTGTCCACCATCTGTATCTTTGAAACGGCTTGAGATAGAGCATTGAATCCAAGGATTGTAGAGGTAAATTTAATTGCAGGGAATTCAATGAAAGTATTATTGTGAGTTCTATTAATTTTTTTAAAAATCAGATATTTGTAACTTCACAACGTTTGATCGAATTGCCCTGAAAAGCCCCTTCAGTAAAAATTGGAGGAGTTTGGGAGAATATGTGTCAATCAAAAATTTTATGCTTCCCACTACAGAATCAGACACCAAAACATACCCTTACCATTTGAAAATTCTGAGAAACATGGGATGGCTGCGTACCCTCTCCACCCCCAAATGCCTCCCATCAAAGGTTTCGGAGGCCGAGATTTGTATTCATTAAATTTTTTAGGGTTAATTAAGGTGGTGATAGTCTTGGTTTCAGAGCTCTATTTTAAATTGTTATCTGAATACAAATGAGAGACTGATGATAAGAGACCACCCCGTACTTAAGGTCTAAGTTCTTATTTAGCGTTAAAGATTTACTCACCAATTGCATCAATTTCATCCATGAATATTATGCAAGGTTGATGATCTCTGGCATAGTTGAACATTTCACGAATCAGCCGAGCACTCTCTCCGATGTACTTGTCAACAATAGCACTTGATACAACCTGGAAGAATAGGAAGCATATTTTCAATAACACATTATGAGAAAAATATCATAAGCCTTTATTAAGGCAATAAACGTTTGTATGCACCAAAATTTTGAGTTGAGACCTGTTATGAAACAGGGGTGCAAAAATTTCTTGACCATCCAACTGGGCGAGTCATAATTGGATTGCATTATGCAAAAAGGAACCACCATCTCTGGCTTGTCCGTAAAAGCACTTTCCTGCATAGGAACACCAATGGCATATATGCTGTTTCTAGAATGAGCCAGAAATAGTGGTTTCGTATTGCAAAATACGGTCCAATTGGTCTGATCACAATCGGCAATGGGAAGGCCCCAAAAATAGGTTTTAAAAATAGGAAGGTTGGCAAAATCATTCTGTTATTACTGACAGTAATGATCACATTTTTTCCCTTCAAAATTGTGACAGTTTATACATACAGAGTTGTAAAAAGAACAGATCTTTGAAATTTCAGAGGAAAAAAAGGTTTTTACGATGGGAAAACCATAGAGTATTTGTATCATTGTTCCGACACATGTGTTTCGGCACTACAGGAAAACCATAAAAATATTAAAAGATTTCTCATTTACTGAGCGTTAAGGCCTCTAATTAAGAGGCAAATCCAGCTATTTTGCTTTCAGAAATTGTCAAATATGAAATTTTACCTTTAAGAAATTAGCATCCAACATACTGGCGACAGCTCTAGCGAGAAGGGTTTTCCCTGTTCCAGGTGGGCCATACAGCAGACAACCTTTAGGAGGAGTGATACCAACTCTTTGGAAGAGCTCTGGGTTCTTTAGAGGTAGTTCAATAACCTGAAAAAAATTTAAGAGATTTTTTAGTCAAACTGATTTAATAGGAAAAAAAAATAAGTTTGGTTTGACTACAATTTAATTAATTTATTTTGTTATTTAATTAACTTAAAACTTTTTTGAAAACCGACTATATAATCGGTTTTCAAAAAATTTTAAGTTAATCAAATAATTTGTGTAGTGCCGATAAAATTTTAAAAAAAAGTGCAATATACAACAACATAGTAATTTATTTTGACCTAAAACTGTAAGTTTAAAATAAAGTCCTTCGTATTTTCCTCAAGTTATTTTTTTGATAGCTTCGCTGAAAATTTAACAAGGGGGTACTTTATTAATGAACAAGCAATGAGGGAATGCCAGCTTCCAGAGGGGCTTTGGGAGGATACGGATCTGAGCCGTTAGATAACCCAGGGCGCAAAAGAGCGCTGTAAAAGCAGCGTTCATGTATGTGCGACTTCATTGATGAAGTAAGTGATGATACTGCAGATAGTTGTGACACTAATTTTTTTCAAAATCAGGAGTGATGATAATTTATCAAAAAAAATATCATTGCTGGAGTAAGGTGTTGCAAAATTTCCAGGTGGATCTCCTGCAGAAGAAGAAAGGCACAGTCAATGGAAAAAAACTGCTACCACCTCACTCCCAGAAAAAGAAATAGACATTTAATCAAGATTAGTCCCTAAATTAAACTTAACTCTCAGGCACAGGAGTAACAATAAAGCCAAACTATCCTACAAACTCTTTTAGGGTAAAGAGGTGCCGGGCTGTCAACCTAAGTTTCGGAGAGGGAGAGTTGGTGATTTAGCCAACGTGTATCAAAATTCAGCATCGATCTGGAATTCACATTTTAGAGGGAAAAGCTCATTTGAATGTAATTTTGTCCCTTGACAGAAAAAAAATTGTGCTCAAATGGGATTCTTTCCTCTAAAATGGAAATTTCGGTTTTACACTGAATGGACCACTAGACAAGGTACGAGTTAAAGGATTCTGATACCTGTTTCTTGACCAGAATTTCACGTAAAGCACGATTCTTGCACCGAAAATTACTGAAATCAATTCTTAACGAAGATATTAACGTTTTTATTTCACATTGGTTACGAGGAATTTGAACTGCCCGCTCACAAGAAACTCAAAGCTCTACGTGAGTCAAATCGCCCACTACAACGGTTTCAGCAAGCCTCTCACTCGAGCAATGTTCATTTCCCACCATGTGTTATTCAAACTATAAACCACTTGCTATAGTTGAGCCAAAGCGTCAAGATTGAGGTTGCCAGCTTTTTGTATCGCAGAGACTGTCATGATAACGTTTCGCGCGCGATGTGAATCACGTAGAGCATTGAGTTATTCATGAGCGGGTGGTTTGAATTCACGCATCAAGAATCATTAAATATCTTTGTAAGGAGTTGATTTCAGTAATTTGCGTTGTGCGCATCGTGTTCTACGTGAAATTTTGGTCATGAAACATGTATCAGAATGCTAAAATTCGTGCCTTGTATAGTGGTCCATTTTGGCATACCTACAGTGGCAAAATCTTACTCCAACACTCTGTCTTATTGACGCATGCATCTAACCAGAATCTGCTTTTGGTCAAGTCTCTTACTTCCACACTGGCCTGTTAGAGCACGACCCCTCTATATTTGCTTTCATGAAATACTCCAAATAAAGGCATAAAAAATAAAAAAGGGTGGGGGAGAACATAAAATGAAAATAATAAAAAATAAAAATCGAGAGTGAGCTTCATACAGCAAGTATTCATACCTCTCTCAATTCTTGTATCTGCTCTGCAAGACCTCCAATCATTGAATAAGTAACAACACCAGGATCTTCATGAGACATATTATAGACTAGCGGATCAACTTCACGAGGTAAATACCTCATTATTGTGAGAGTTGTCATGTCTAGAGCTACACGAGTACCAGATTTTAATTTCTTCTTATCGAGCTGTCTTCTACATCCAACAACGTATCGAGGCCCATTAGTTGCTTTAACAATGACTGAAAATTAAAGAAATTGAATGATATAAGTTGATATATGATGCTAGTAAAAACTTGTGAGAAAAATAAGAAAACATTTTGGCCATAAATTACTTTAGGTTAACTGAAATATACTTTCATAGTATGAAAGAAGTAGTATGAGAACTACAGGAATGAGGCAGAGTACAGCAAACGACAGAAATTGAGGGACATTTTATACTTATGAGTTGCTAGAACTAAAACCAAAATGATTGAGCTTTTTCATAATTATTATAAAGAAGGGCATTTAGCATTTTGACCCCTTTTTATCATCTCACATGCTCGGTAAGACTTTTACCCCTCTATTTTCAATTTTTACTTCTCATGAAGCAAGACTATCAAGTAATCCTCCCTCCCTTAAGAAAAGAAGGGTCTCAATTTTTAAAAATTGAACCAAAACCTAGAATTGAACATTGTTGCCTCTACTCTTGTCCCCAGTATCCGGTATTGTCTCTTCAATAATGGTACCTGGCTCCTTTCTTCTCAAATAAACTGAGAAAAAATTGAATACGCCCCCACCAAACTAAGGCCCGAAGAGAAAATGATGATTACACAAGATTATAATTAATTGCAGATTTAACAAAATTGCCTTCTATTTTGCAACTATACCAGCTATTTAAATTCTGAAATAAGGACATTTTCAATACGCATGGAAAATAACTTACACTTTTCCTCAGTAAGTTGCTTTAATACTTCACCAACAATCTGAAAGCACAAATATCAATTAGAAAGGAGGATATAAAAAGAAACCTGGGAAGAGGATAAAACAAAAAATTCCTTGGTGATCAATATAATTAATGAAATAAGTAATGCTGATCTCAGAATACCTCCAGAAAAGGTAAGTGACCATTTAGTTACTTTGAGTTACTTTTCTTTGAGAGAAAAAATTTAAGTTCTAAAAATTACATCAGGTTGTAGAGCTGCTAAATGGTTTGAACTGATGTTGTGATGCTGAAAATTGAGTTCTTTACTTTGATTTGGTTACATTATTCATTGTAGAACATATATCCTTAAAAATCTTAAATATCTTGACTTCTACAAGACAGAATTTTCCTTTTCCAATTTTCAAGTAGCCCTCAGGGCTACTTACCAAATCCTACACTTAATCCCCCAGTCCCTTACACCCAACTCCAGGTGATCTTCGCCTGAGACCATGAGACTCAAGTCACCTGGCTGGGAATCATACCCAGGACCTCCTGATCATAGGGCTAGAGCTACAATCACCACACCACTGAAGGCTGATCCAGTGAAAGTTCTCAGTGAGAACTTCTCACCTGTTTCATTCATTGGAGAATCCAACTTAGAGGTACGTCCAAATACTTTTTAAATGCATTTAAGTTAAAAAATAATGATAGAGATACTGACCTGGCCAACACTTTGAAGAGCTTTGAGATCATTTTCAGATTTATCATACTGTTTTGTAAGGTCTTTCAACTGCTCTCTCACTAAAGAGAAAAAAAAACAAATCATGTTATGAAACATATTTTTAAAAAAGAAATTTCAGAGAGATGTCATGCTTTAAATCACTCCCTTTCACACTATTCATTTGATGCAGTTAGAGAAAAAATATCACAACTAGGGTAAATTCCTGAATTATTGAACAAAAACTAACAGAAGAACCTACTTGAGATGGAAGTAGAATTTACATAAACTCAAATTTCTTCCTACTGAGGTTGCCGTTTTCATATTGCTTTGGGTCTTTGAGACACTTTAAGCTTGTTATACTGCAATATTTATATTAAGGACTACTATCATAATTTTTCTTTAAAAATTAGGAGGATTCTCATTATTGGATATTTAGAAAGAATAAAATTGGCTATTCTTCAATACAATAACTTCTGTGTCAAGGCAGCAGGACTACTTGTGAACATTCTGAGTGCTTAAAACCGTTTAGACTCGACAAATTAATGATGCAAAATAGTGAGTTTTACGAAAAAACTGAGGGTGTAGAACTCTGGGAAAAAGACTAAAAAAAGTCTTACTTAAAAATTTTTGGTTCTGAGTATCTTTTTTCTTCGGGACCTGCAGCCTGATTGTTGAAACTTTATTTGGCTTTGTCAGCAAGATAAGACCAGATCTGCGCCGTGTAATAAATTGATCTTCAATGTCTTGTTGTACTGACATAAAGCTCAACAATCAAGCTGTTAGGAATCGTTCTGGTTCGAAATTTCAAATGCGAATCACACGCCATTTTAGGCTTGACAACTCCTACACTGAACCACTTGGAAAGTTAAGTAAATGCTAAGTGAGGCTTCAGTCAAGCTTTAAGGTTCATATTGTAGGGTAGCACCATTTCGTACTTGCTGTTACTGTTCATTTTCGGTAGATACTTTTAAATAACCATGGTGACAAAGCTTCAGAGATCTGATAATAAATTTTCCTACTTGTTTGGACCCGTTGAATAAGAATTGGGTGGGAGTATGCGTATCGATTGTAACTATAAAATACCCTGCGAATTCTTCATTCCAGAATTCAGGCTTGCGGATTGGATTTGACTCATGATAATGGATGATCAAATCAATGGAGAAAGTAGTTTCAGACGGTTGAATTTAAGACAATTACTTATAAATAAATAATTTTGATCTTTTGCGACTCTTGAATCTCTGTAAGTCGCATAAAATTCATGGTCTTTGGATTTTTCTGAAGAGAATGATAATGCAGTTTGAAGCCTAACCTAAAAAATATCTTGAACTTACTTTCTTTGAGACGACTTTCGACTTCTTTGTGCTCAATTAGTTTCTTCCGATATTCTTGAAGCGATTTTTCTCGCACGGGTTCAGCCGTAGCAGCACTCATGATGAAAAAATGAATAAAACAATTATGTTATAAAATTCTTGTAATCACCAAATCACGAACAAACAAACAGCGACGGCCAGAGCGCATAGGAGAAGATTTTAGGAGTAGGAGTCACCGACCCAAATCGTTTGTGTAGGAGCTGATATAGACATCTTGCATGGCACTAAAGCTGTGCAAAATGCCTAGCTATTACCTGTTGTCACCGGTTATTCGTGGTAGTTATCAACCTCCTCAGCGCTTTCTATTTGGCAGTCTGTAAGCATTGTAAGTAACTTCTGAATTCAAAGCACATAGACAATTCACAACCATTCAATTAGGATTAAAATCGAATTAAAGCCAAACAAACCGCAACAAAATACAAAAATATCGTTCGACCTGGCATGATGGCTATACAAACGGAAAAGCGCGAGGAGCGACGGAAAATTCCGAATCAGCGTAGCTAATCACAGCACAGCTGAGACTGATTGCGAAATCGTTCGTAAACAACGTCGGAAGTGTTTGAGTTTAGTGAAGTTTATCACACTCGAAAACTGGTGAGGTGAAGTATTTTCCTGTGAAATTCTAAGTTAACAGGTGCAATTTTAGTTTGAGGCTCCTGTATTTTTGTCGAATGCTCGTGCGTTTTTAGTAGTGCGATGTTGTTTCCAGCTCAAACGCGGCAAGGCTTGGGCTCACCTGGTTTTTGCAGGAACTGTAAACTCTATCGTCGAAATTGAACAAACGACGTAAATCTCCAGGTTTATAACGATAGTATTAGTCATCGAAGTCCTGCTTCATGCAATATGCAAGATCCGAGGAGTCTAATCCGATATTTTGTGTTACACTGCTAATGGAAAATAACCTCATCATTTTATTAGTTAAGACGTATTCCTAAAAGGAAAAAAAACCAGTTCTGGTAAATTGCAGTTCCTTCTGCGGGTTTTTCAATCTTTTCACTTCCAACTATACCTTCAGCTCCCTAAGTTTGATTCAACATTTATCAGATCTCATCTCAATGACCATGCTGTAGCACATACTAAAACAAGGTCAGTTTCGCAACTGCTTCGATCCGTCCTCTTAAGATGGATTTGAACTCTCCAGAAGAAGAGGATTTTCCCGGCAGGCTTTTGCATCAGGTATTGTCACCTTGTTAACAATGTATTTATTTAGCTGTCTCAAAAGTCCTTTTTTTGTACAATTAAGTGTAGATAGACTCTGCCCCCGTTCTCTAATTACCTCGCTTTAGTTTCTTTATCAGTTCATATTTGTTTATCTGTGGCATACATTATTTGATAAGGTTGTCACCAAGAGAATTCGTATTTGCCATCAACCAGGCATAGCCTTGAGCAATTTATAATTCATCCTGATGTAATGTTTTTTTTAAACAGAATAAGGTACCTTATTCTATGTATGCATAGGTAGATAAGTACCTTCAGAAATGCCGAACAAGTTATACATTTTTTTCAAAGAAAGTAACCATTCATTAGGGCTCATTTTTCTTGGTATCAATATGACCTTAGTCATACATATAAATCACCATCAGGGCCGGATTTACGTTTTTAGCGCCCTAGGCTAAACTTAGGGTGGCGCTTTCGTGGGGGGGGGGGGGGGGTCTCCCAGGAGCCCCTCCCCTCCAGATCAGAAGGAGGATGTTAGGTGTCAAAAACATGTTCAAATTCACCTATAAAAAAACACGATTTTAAACAGTTTTGAGGTACGTTTACGTTTGCAAGTTGGTTTTGGAAAATGAAAAGTAACAAAAGACTCGTTAAATTAAAAAAAAAAAAAAATTCTCAAAGATTTTGCGCCCTTCAGAATGTTGCGCCCTAGGCTACAGCCTATGTAGCCTATTGGTAAATCCGGCCCTGATCACCATCCATACAAACTGTTCCAGATGTTTACAAGCGTAAGGTATTAAGTAGATTTTTCCGTGTTGTTTACAAATGTCTATGATGTTGGTTGACAATTTATCATACCATATCAAAGAACCCCTGGCTACCATGAAAAAAAATCAGTAGGGGCCTGGTTGCAAAAGGCTCAAAGTTTGAAGCCAAACTTCAGAATCCAATATAAGTAGATAAAGAAAGAGAGAAAAAAATCCTGGTGACCTAAGTCCCCCCCCCCCGCGGCTGGGCCGTCCCGGGGGAGGGGGGGAGCTTGTAACACCACTGGTTGTGAAATGTATATAAAACCTACAACAACAACAACCACCGACTACTGTACCCACAGGGCTAAGTATCGGCAGCGTTGATTTTCCCAGAAAAAATGCTGTTTTCTTGAATTTATATTGTTAAATTTAACCGTTAATAACATATTTACCAATTGTAAACCATTTGTACCTATTCCATTAAGTTACATTTTTGGCATTAATGACATTCTTCCTGGAATAGAACAATATCATGATGAAGAAGTACCTAGAACTGATATTAGCAACAAAAACCAAAAGTAAGCAGTGTCATTGAGAATCACAACTAAATATCACTGTTTCATTTCTGGTGTATTTTCTTTATTTAAACCCCAGGCAGCACTATGGGACAATGCTGAGCTATTAGAAGATCTGTTAAAAGGAGATCAACGTAGGCATTTGGATGGCCAGGACTCGTGGGGTCGAACTCCTCTTCATGCAGCTGCAACCTCTGAAAATTCCAGGTGCCTCCGAGTGCTTCTTCAGTGCGGTGGTAGGTCTTTCCAACTTTTTTGTTTCATATTCTTGTGAAAGTTCACCCCAAGAATTCTTATCAATCTAATAGAAGATAGGAAATCACCTATAGCAAACGGATTCTTTAAAGTTTTATTTAAGTAAGGGAGGACTTTTAAAGAAAATTTAAGGAAAAGTTGATAACTTGATGCGCTAATGACAGCATTTCTAATAATGAGACATCAGGTGCCAGGGTAACTGATTTTTTTTAACCACAAGATACGATCTCAAAGCTCCTTAAAATACATTTGCCACTTCCAGTTCCAATAGGTATTCCGAGTATCTGCTTACTCACATTATAATTAGGGTCTCTACCTTGTTTATTTCTCAATATTTTGCTAAAGAGGTGTTTTTATTTTCTTTTAAGCTTATCCAGTTATTGATTGATTCCATTTTTCTTTTCAGCTAACCCTAACATACCTTGCGGGCCTCGTGGAGACAACAGGGTGAGTGTATTTTCTGGCTTCTGTACTCTTTTTTTCCTATCCAAAATACACGAAAAAAATCGCAAATTTTATGTTGCTCTCCCATTAATGTGAGTCTACAGTTAATCAGTCTAAAATTCAAGTCAGGACAGCACTTTATGGACATTTATGGCTCTAAGTATTTTTCCTGAGTAAAAGCTGTAAGTTTACACTTCTAGAGTGTCAAAGTGGCATCTTACAGCACCCAAAATTGGAAGATAGTGCATCTTTCATTCTCAATATTGAACAACTTGCGAAGTAAGCAACTTTAGCTTAGCTCCTGCCAAGCAGCCAGTCTAGAGAATAGATTTTAATAGAAATAGATTAATAGATAAAATCTCACCTCTCTCTACAACTACAATTCCCTTTAAATAGATAGATTTTTAGTTTTTATTGAGGACAGTTAGTTTACAAAATACATAATGGTCATTACAAAAATCAGTGCCACTGCCAAGAGAAAAAAACCTTGTGCATTATAAGAAATCAATTTCAAGTAATCATTCAAACACAAGTAATTATTCAAACAAAACAAAATTATTTTAGTGATTGACTTCGCTGTCAATTACTGAAGAAGTAACAAGTATTGAAGATGGATTGTTTAGCAAGCAGTGGCGTGGCGTGAATTGCGATGTATCGATTGTTCTGCCATTTAAACCTATGATAAAGAATCGATTATTAAGGTGTTCGCTGCGAACACCCTGTCTGTCGATCATTTTCCAGAGGTTTAAATGGTATGACAATCGATATATTGCAAAGCACGCCATGCCACTGTTGGCAAGCAATGTATCAAGTATTGAGTAAGAGTATTTACAGAGAGATTTAAGATAAATTGCTTGGTCACTCTCTTAGAGTGAACTGGGAGAACCCACCTTAATAATGATGTCATCATGCAATAGGTCATAGGTACCAAAAGGTAAGGCTTCTTCATGCTCGGTACTTTTTATCTTCATCTTTTAGAGATTAATGAATTACACCTCTCATCAGTCCTGCTTGATTTTTCTTCCAGACTCCTCTTCATTTGTGCGCTGAATATGGATTCATCAACAACATCATGCTTCTTCTGGCTCACAAAGCTGATCTTCTGGCCGAGGATGGCTGTGGCTTGACACCTTTGAGTATTGCTGAAAAAGGGGAACATGTAGAATGTGTCACCATCCTAAAACAAGCTGTTGGTGAGTCATAAACTCATTTAGTTTGTTATGCTAGCTTTGTTTCTGTGGTCATTTTCTTTTCTTTTTTAAATAACTTTACGTCTTCTTGTTTTTTTTTGCTCTCTAATTTTCTGTATCTGAAAAAAATATTTCCATGCCAGCAAAAAGGAATCGAAATGTCTGCAGTCAGAAATTCCTCCAAAGGGATTAGTCCAAAGGTAAAAAATTCCTAAAAATCGTGAAAAATGAGATTCTTCTGAAAAATTTCTCATTCATAAGAAGGGGTGTCCAGACTTCTTCCCCCCTCCCAGCCGTGCCAATGGTCTCATTCTTTGCAATCATACTATTCCTGAATTTTGTCCCGGTTCAAAATGTAGTTATTGCTGCTGTGGGTTTCTTGAATGCTTAGGGTACCTGATAAGCCTTAGACTTGTCAAATTTCTAAGTTTGGGGCCACCTTCTACCTCATCAGCAAGACCTTGGGGGCTGAGATCGCCCTTGAAATTTCAAAAGGTGATGGTAAAGGTTTGAATAATAGCCTTTTTTATTTTTCAAAGGTTCACTGAAATTTTTCGGGAAAGTTCAGTTCAATTTCACCGCAAAATTTCAAATTCTTATTTCTCATGAAATTTTCCATCTCAGCCAAATGGGCTTCGGAACTGTCAGCTTCGAATCTTTCAGGATCAAAACACCTTTTTTCGGGTCTCTAGGTCAGTTTTTGACCTAGCTTTTTACTGAGAAGGGTTTTATACCTCAGCCTTAGACAGGGAACTCAGGGCAGGGTGTCTACAAGTCCGGAACTGATTTTTTCGAGGCGATCCGGAAGTACTGAAAAAGAGCAAAACTCCGCAAGAAGATCCAGAATTTCTTCATTTTTTTCTTGTCATTTTGGTCGCAATTTAAGCGAGAAATTCAAATGTTTGAAATTTGCCGAATTTCGTCAGTTGGAGGTGCTGAAAAAGTACTGAATTTTTCTGTCGAGGAGGTACTGGATTTCTTGGGAATATACTGAAAAAGTACTGTAGAAGTACTGATTTTTGGCCAGCCTGTTTCAGTAGACACCCTGCAGGGAAATGGGACAGGGGTAGGATGATTTTGGACATTTTGGCATCGATTTCGGTCAACATTTTCCGTACTATCTGCTTTGATTAAATAATTCCTAATTGTGATGGGGATCCCCTCGTTCAAAGACGAAATCCCCCTTTTATTTCCAAAGGGGGTGGGGGTTACGGAATGGTGAAATTCTGGTTCCCTCGGGTCGATTCCCTATTTGTTCCCGCGGCCGCAGTCCGCGATCCCTGACTTCGCCCGACCCAAAATAACCGGGAGAAGAGTCTTGTACGACTAGTCTAGAACACCCTGTGAGTATACGAAAACATTTTGATAGCTCACCAATGGCAAGCATGCGTTTTTCTACGATTCCACCGTCGTTTCGCCTCGCATCCGATGTAAGTTTTTATAAGCAGTCTGGCAACCACGAGGAAGATTGACGTGACGAGTGAAGACTGTCGACCGCAATCAACATCATAAGGTAGAGTTGGAAAATGAAAGTTTAAGAGTTTGGCAACCAGTGGTTCGTGTTCCCCGTTCATTTTCCGTAATTTCGTTCATGTCCGAGTGCGATTGCCCCCTTCGCAGCCCCCCTCCCCCCTAGCTCAGCGCCCGTGACTCGGCGCCCATCTACGAGGCTGCCATATCATACGTCATAAAAAATGTTGCTTGTAGTTTTTCTGACAGCTAATTTTTTCGAACGGGTTTGTTAAAACTTTTATTGAGGCGAAAAGAAAAGTTGCTCCGCGTAGTAAGCAGTCAAAAAATCCCGGCAAGCACATAGACAAAAAGAAACCTATGGACAGGGTCGGATTAAGGGGGTGGCCACATGCGCCGCGGCCCATGGCGGCAAATCTAGGGGGCGTTAAAGTTTGCAATTTTTTTAAATGTAGGTATAAAAAAAATCGGATTTAGAAAAAAAAAATTACTAACGAGAAAAGGCTACAAAATCTCTCATTTCCTAAGGGTAAAATTATAGTAATTTCTAATTTTGTCGTCTTTCGGTGATACAAGAGACAACACCTTTAATAAGCCGAGTTAAGAGAGAAACCAAACACGCATTGCATCAAGCACAGTGCGGTTATTGTGGTCAGCGTGAAAAGGATAGCGCCTGCAAGAATACATGAATACTTCACGCATTGCGCCAAACACAGTGCGGTCAGCGTGAAACGCATAGCGCCTACAAGACTGCGTGAATACTTCACGCGTTCCGCCAAACACGGTGCGGTCGGCGCGGCGCGGCGGCGGAAGTTAAAATCATTAAGCCAAATTTTGTGTTTGTTCTTTCATAATTTTGTCGTTTATTTCTTATGACTGGAAGGCTTTATTGTCCATTAGAGATAGGTTTATGAAACTTGACTTTCGCGCAAAGTTCCGTGACCTTTTGCTAGTAGTGTTGACAGGGCTTTCCCAAAAAATGTGTTCTACACGAGTAAACGCGTCTTATGCACTTATTCAAAATAGCCACCGTCTTTTGCGCATTCAGTCTCCTGCTTTTCAAAGAAGCACTTTCGTTGTTTGTTTTTATTTGCGGAATTGTCGTATGACGGCGCCAATTTTTAGTTTCGCGTGGAATTGTAAAATCTGGACCACCCTGCCGTGTAGTATGCTTTCTGAAGGAAAAAGCTGAAAAGTACGCAAATTTCTTACGCAGATAACGAAGATAAGAGTAAGATACCATACCTACGCATAGCCAGTACAATTTTCTGGGGATTGCGTAGTCCCTACTTTCCAGGAAAAGTCAATTTCGCAAAGGATCCCTAGACAATTTTAAAAAAATTATTTCTTTTTAGATACATTTTGAGGCCATTCTCATGCATGATCTAGCGTTTGCAAACTTCAGGTTTAACCCAACCCAAAATCTTCGAAAAATGTCTCAAAAGTTTTCCTTCTTCCTATCGCACCATGCGATGAAGCGATGAAATGTTCCGGTTCTAAGGCTGTTTTCTAAAGTACTGATTTTCTGGGGGGGGGGGGGGGTGTCACCCTGGCCCCGAGAACTACGTTCATGGTGTATCCTTACCGTGCGAAAGGGTCGAAACGGTCAAAATCAGCACCTCCTCCGCTCTTGCTGTATGTCAGACAAAACTCAAATCTAGAATGGTTCTTAGGTTCCAGTGGGCAATGTAGCATCGTTGCTCGTTGCGTACAACGCACGGCGCAATCTGTAATTATGTGTCCAATCTCTTTCGCGCGGGAGAATTGCTGCCGCTCTATCATAAGGGGAATTAATGGAAGATTGTTGAATGTTGACACGCGGCAAAAAAAAATCCAGGCACCGAGAACGGCACGTGAGAAGAGGGCCTTGCCTCCTCACCCTTCTTTTCACACGTTGTCCGTTGTTTTCGACCGTTTTTGCCACTTCTCTCCGTTGAACCACACAGAGGGGACAAATTTAAGTATTACGGTATACCAAAAGTTACGTGCAAAGTACGTTGAACTTTAGGGGTGCAAATTGTTCGCGACTTCGCGGTCGTGACATAATTCCGGAGTTGCCCTAAAAATCGTGGAAGCTATGAATGTCAGTGGCGTGGCGTGAATTATCGATATCTCGCCATTTGAAGCTATGGTAGAGAATCGATTACTAAGGTGTTCACTGCGAACACCCCGATAATCGATCTTTTTTCATAGGTTTGAGTGGCGTATCAATCGATATATCGCATAACACGCCACGCCACTGAAGAATGTTCGACTAATTTTCTCTATGTTGCACGGGAAAGTTCAATAAAAATCTGTGTGTTGTGACGCTCATAGAGCCTTTATTGCAAGACTGCCTGTGAAAATTATTGAAACGATACAACTTCTTGTACCTAATCAATCAGAAATTATAAGGCAGGGAAAACTTTTCAGGAGTCCCTGTAGAGTGCCCTGTTAATAATTTACTCAGCCGATTTTTTTCTTTTTTTTTCTTGGAGACTACAGGAATGGATGCTCATCACAACGAACAGGATGCTTATCGCAACAACCAGAATCCCATTAAGACGATAGGTCTCAAACCGAAATCAGATGAAGGAAATATTAGCAGGGAGTCCTGCAAGGACTCAGGGAAATTTTCCGCGAAGGGATAAGCGTAATGGATCTCGATGTTTTTCTTTTTTTTTTTACCTCTGGCGCGGTAATTTAGCAACGCAGGGTAATTTTAGCGGAACCCGTCAATCACCTCTCCGCAGATAGAATGTCCACTTCCCCCTCCTCACCGTCAGTGCTATCGCCATGTCGAATGTGTCATAGCCCCAGTTAAGAACATGCTGTTCTCGAATAGAAAAACAATCCTGCGGTAGAACTTTCATTCGATAGCCGAACAGAGATTATCCTGACCTCGCCAATCAAAATCTTAGTTATCCATGTTCCATGTTCGATATTGTCAGCGTACTCAGTGCATCTAATGAAAGGCTACATGCACTCATGAACTAACATTGCAAGAGATTTGACCCTAGGTTGCTCGATGGTTGAGCGGCTGTCAGTCGAAGCAACTTACAATGTATCGCGTCGCTTTGATCAGGCCTGCAAGGGCAACTTTCCGTCATTTCTATTATAAGTCGATATCACAAAAGCAGCTTTTATAATTAGTCAACTTTCCGTGACTTAAGGAAGCTGCGTGGTTGAAAATTAAACAAAAATCTAACTTTAGTTTTAACTCATACTCTAATTGGCTAATTTCATCACGGCCATTGTCAGGGAAAACCAGAAATAACGAAAGGCAGGGATGCAGAAAGTTCTTAGTCTTTCCAATTTTCAAATTGTCTTTCCCAGCCCTGGTAAAAATTGGCAGGAGAATCTGTGTTCCAAAATACCATAGACCTACAGCCGGCTGTAAGATTTCCAATAGCTTCTATAGCCGGCTACACAATTTCTTATAGCCTTTTATAGCCGATGGCGATTGAGCAACAGCCAGGCGATAAAGTCTATGCTAAACGTTACTAATTACGGATGCTAGGACTTAGTGAGTTTTTGAAATACTGCTCTCTTTTTGGGCCGTAGTATCTTGATTTATTTTGCGAGGAAAGCTCCGCACTTTTGATGGATGCCTGCCATTACTAATATATTAGAGCGCCTTCAGTTTCGTATGATACTGTGCAATATCTCTGGTGTGAAATAGTTTCCTCAAGCGCCGTAGCAGGCGGGCAGCCAGCGCGAAACACGCATTGGCGCCTGCAAACCTAACAGGGATACTTCACGCGTTGCGCAATGCGTGAAGTATCCCTGTTAGGTTTGTAGGCGCCAGTGCGTCGCCACTCCGCTTTGTGTTAGGCTCTAATATTTAATCTGGCGGAGTCAGCGTTATTCAACTCATGATTTTGAAATGTTTGCAAATCCTGTATGGATTATTCTCATTTTAATTGATGAAAAAAAATATGTATTAAAGGAAAATATAATGTGTGTTTTGTAAATATTAAGGTGGTTCCGTATCAAACTTAATGATTTCCAAAGCACACGAATTTCTACACAATTTCTAATAGCCTTTTATAATCGATGGCGAAAAAGCAACAGCCAGACGATAAAGTGTAAAGCCCGGCGATAAGAACTATAGCCCGGCTGCATAATTTTTTATCGCTTCGTGTAGCCCGGCCGTATGATTTTCTCCGCATTCTACAGCCAGCTATATGATTTTCTGTAGCCTTCTTTAGCCGGCTATAAGAATTCCTATGGTATTTTGAAACGCAGCTCTTATCGCCAATTTTTACCAGGGAGTTTAAAAACCCCTTTTTCCAGAAATTTCAAAAATATTATACTTATTCCAAGGCTCCGCACGCAAAAATTGCCGCGATGTTGCCAGCTTTTCTTTTTTAAAACATCGTTTTCGGGGCCTTCCCGCATTTTACACGCGACCGATCGCGACCAGTTCGGTCACGTGATTGAGAAATTTTTGTATCCGTGGTCAAAGGAGAAGTGAATCAGAAAAAACGATTCTAGCAGGCAAAAAGGACAAAACGACCAAAAAGTCAGATAAAAGTTGCGTTAATGTGAACGGTGAAGTTCAACGTTCCACAAGTCCCAGCTTGTTTCCTATCAAACTTCCAATCGGAAAATCTTGAAATTATTAATTATAATCTCTTATTTTCTTACAAATTAGACAACTTTCTCTAACTTGATCAGGAAAAACGTGGGAAAACCAGGAAATTCCATTTATACTTCCGTCCGCACTCTGGAACTTGGTAGGTATTTTACTGCGCGGGTCGATTCGATACGAAGCCAACATCAGGCAATTGGCCCGGCAAAAATAACCAGCACTGTTGTTCAAATCCCAAGCGAATAGTCAACAATACACGGTACGTTTTTGTCCCGATGGGCGTTCGTTGGAAATAGCACCCATCCTTGAATGGCTCTAGGGTGGCAACACTGAGTGACGCAGGAAGCACATCCTGATATACATTTTAAATGCCCCGTTAGGTGAGAACCACGTATAACCATTGAAGGCTCTGTGAAGATCCGTGGTTTCGGCCTGGCACGGCAGTTAACCACTTAAATGATGCAGACAAAGAAGCAATGTTGCCAGGAAGAGGAGACTGTGAGGTGCGATTCCAACCTGAAGGATGCACAGTAGATCGAGTCAATGGGAGAGGTCGGGCATAATTTGGACACTTTAAACGCATATATCATATAACTCCGTTCAGACAAAATATTGAGGTTTTAAGGTAAATCCAGGCTTGGAACTTCGCGATTTGGCCACCACGTCGCGCTGCTCAGAATAGCTGTATATATTTGCCAAAATAATAAAAACCGTAATACTTATTCAAGATTGGGGATCCAGGGGATATAGCAACATACTTGAGGAACACTCAGTAAGAATATCTTCCTAAAATTCTCAAAAATAAAGTCGTAACTACGGCGGAGAGTAATTCCCATTGCGGCAATGGGAGAGAGAGGGACAGAACATGAGGGATTCGGTTGCGTGCTCGGCCGCCGCGGCTGAGCTGAAAGTTTCAGCCGTACTTTCTCTGCGCTTGTAATGCTAATTGCTAATATTTTTGGCTCAAAAAATCAAGCAAAAAATAATCCATATCTTGTGGATCTGCTGTTTGTAATTTGAACAATATTATTTCAGTAATCGTTGAAGGAAAGTGAAATTCTCAGTGGTGACTGGTGGCGCTATCTGTTATCTTGAATTATCCCTAATTGAACCCTGGATTCACCTTAAAGTGGTTTCATTGGTTCCCTCGTTAAATTTTCTTCCAAAAGCACCCCTTGAAATTCAAATTATGACGAAACAAACATCAAAATTTGCAGTTTTAGCAAAAATTTCATGTCCGACCTTTCTAATTAACTCGATCAACTGAGAAGCGGAGACATTCACAATCTACTTAAGCATATATTTCTGGGAAGAGTTTTGAGGAAAGTCTTAGAGTGTCCTTACGTCAAAATACTACATGAGGTTTCTTAACTTGTAATTGGAGCCAGCATTGTCAGAACGGTCTCCTTATGCAGATAGCACAACACACAGGGGGGAAACATTTTTTTTTTTTGATAAGTCATGGCTCATCCATTTAAATCCGTCCCAGGTAACACTTTTGATTGATTGACGGTGTCAAGCTGCCCTCGCAGTGCAGGCTCGCGTAGTCCGACGTAATTGGAAGCCAGGATGATTGAATGAGTGTAAGGACGAAGGTCCCCCAAAAAGCAGTTAAGGGAGCTGGCACTGACAGTTAAAATTCATCTAACACATCCTACATCTTGAAAACAAGTATAACCAAGCCATATCCTTAAAACTCTTTGAAGGAGGAGTATCTGGACTTCACCAGACTGCTTAATTGGGCGGGCATTAACTAACTGTTAGACTAACTGTTAGGCAGTGCGTAAAGTATATCTCTTGAAAATGAAGGCGTTTCCAACCAAAATCACTTTCTTTCAGCGTGAAGGGAAGGGCCATCCCGACGAATCTCCTTCGTCAGATAGCATCAGTTTCTCAGAAGTAATAGTTGTCTCACTAGTAGCCAGACCAGCCTAGTAGTGACCAGTTCGTAGCCGAGAAACAAGTCACGGCACCATTTGAACCCGGGTTTGGCCAACAAAATTTTTATAAAGTCGGAGTGTTGCATCTTCCCAATTTTGATTTCATCGATGATCCTCTTTAATTCTTTACGCAGTCTGGTCGTCGAACAATGGACATTGATAAGAGCATAAAACAAAAGAAGTCTATTCAAGGGACTTGAATTGCTTGAAGTCAGGTGATATCAG